GTTGGACTTGCCTTTTGCAGTATAAAGGGTAGGTGTTATGAATCTAGTCCAAAGTAATAGTTCTCCATGTGTTTTTAAAGTTAACAAATATGTGAATTCCTGTCTCCCTTTCTCTGTAGCCTATTCCGCACATGTATTTTTACGTGCACATATAGAATCCTTCCTGGTTTCTCAGCTACATTCTTGTGAGGGGGCTGACTTGGCAGATACAAACTGTGAGAAGAGATCACTACTCTGAAATGCTGTTGGAACTGAAAATTGAACCTATGTGTGAGCTTCCTACTTGAACAACATGATACATAAATCAATGTTCAGAAAAATAAATATTTTTGGATCTGTGGATGACATATATTTCATGATGAATTTCAATTGGCATATATGTTTCTACTTTTTAATGTTTGTGTGTGTGTTTGTGTGTACATATATATATGTATATATATACACACACACACTCTCCAGATTTTTCAAAATATAAAATATATGTGTCTTATTTTACACTCCCTAAATTCATGTTCATGTATGTGGATTTATAATCAACTTTTCACAAGATTATTCTCAGAAATATTCATCCACCTGAAATACATATTTGTTTCCTAGTACTGAAAACTAACTTCAGTGAATGGTGCATAAATATCCTAGGATTTCTACAGTAACTGACCCTGTTTAACATCAATGCAAGTAGACTCCTATGGGCCCTGATGTGTATTTTGACATTCATTTTTATCCAACACTGGTATATTACTATTTCCTCAGTTGATGCACATCATAGGATATATATTTCATCCTCAAGTTCACAAATATCTAGGCATTTGGCTCACTTTTAATCAAATCCTGCTTGAGAACACATGTATTCCGGGCTGGGAATGTGGCTCAAGAGGTAGCACACTCGCATGGCATGCGTGTGGCCTGGGTTCTATCCTCAGCACCACATACCAACAAAGATGTTGTGGCTGCTGAAAACTAAAAAATAAATATTAAAAAGAAAAGAACACATGTATTCCTCCATGTTTCTTGACTGGACTTTTCATGAGACTTCATTCCAAAAACATTATTTTCGATTTCCATAATCACTTTTGAAGCAAAACTCACAAACCCTTAATGGTAAACCATCACCCTAATATTACCATTAGATGTATAACTGGTTGGAATAAATGACTGTGTATCAATATAAGATTTCCTATATATTTTCAGTTATCAATTCAATCCATTATTTAAATTGGAAACAGTTATATTCTTTATTCACAGTATGGTCTATTCATGCATAATCTCTATACTCATACACCCAGTGTACACCTATTTGTACCCCCTAATGCTAATTTATACGTCTTCTACATATTGCTCCATGAAATGGTGGAAGAAATACTCATGTCACATGATCTACATATACATTTTATCACTGTGATATTCTGGACACAAAATGCAAAGGTCACACTTATGATTGTACGAAAGCCTAATTGGAAAGTGAGCATGGATTACTAAAAACATTCCTGTCCAGGGTGCCTAATGCTCTCAAATGTCAATCCTATTGGTGACTACACATTTTTTTCTGCCTAAGATTATATATTCAACCTCAACCCTGTTGAAAATGTCTAATCCTATCGCTCACTTTATACTTTGCCTGATTTCCTAATGTCTATATTCAGATCTGCTTTCCTACGTATTTTCCCCAGTTCATCATCGTGACTGCCTCTTCATATGTGCTGACATTTACATTCACTCTTTAAAAGGCAGCCTATTGCTAAAGAACTTTTGGTCCAAATTTTTTACTCACTCTTCTTCTTAAACCTACAGACTATCTTCTTAATCCTACCTAATATCCCATTTTGACTGGATGTTCTCTTCTACGTTCAATCATCCTAGGTACAAGGTCCTATGCCATTGTATATGGATTTATCTGAGACATCTGTGGCAGAATGTAATTCAAAGGTAAGTATCCCAATCAAGGGCCCAATGTCCTTCTGTCCTTCAAATCTTACTTCGGTTTCTGTTATTCATACATATATTTCACCTTTATGTTATTATAAATATCACATGTTCCCAATACCATTCTTCATCCAGCAGAATGATTCCTAACCCAAATCAAACATTTTCTTTTCCCTAACCATACACTGTTCCCTCTATGTAACTTTACAGAAGAGCAGAGACAGAGTTGGTCTTACAATACAGGAATGTAGGGGATCTTCCAAATGCTGAGAACCTCAAAGGTTTATGCAGAAATGATCCCTGAAGAAGATGCTGGCTATTATGAAGGACCTGAGAGAGCAAAAGTCATCTTCCATGGCAAAAAACCTGGTCGGGATGAAGGGATGTGTCTGAATGAGTCTCTCTCCTTAATGTAGACAAGATGGACCAAACCAGGCCTGTGTGGATAGCTTTTCCTGGGTGCCTATGGTTGTTATACCATTCTAACTTGTGAAAGTGTCACAGGAATCAGGGGCAGCCTCCATCTCATGGGACCCTTGGAAGCAACTGTTAGGACAAAGTGGTTTCCAAGGCAGTGACCTCATTCAGTTCCTGAAGGAAGTGACCTCACCACACTTCCTTGCTAATGGAACACTCTGAACTTGGGATCCAAGAAGCCAGGCACCCAGAGTCAGTCTCAGTCCCAGTCCCACTGGGCTCACTTGTTTCAATTTACCAAGGACAGAGTCAATATTTCTTGGGACCTACAGATGTGAGGATGGCCAATTGCCATGAAACCTCTGAAGAGGAGCCTTCCTGAGAAAGCAGGTAGTGGCTCACCCCTGGCTCCTGCCAACTTCACAGAGTTGGCCAAGGAGGCCAGATCTGAGAAAGGACATGCCATTTCGTGGGAACATAGTATGGCCCACCAGTCAGACAACACTCTGGGTAATCACAGACCTCCTTGGGGGAAGGAGATGGCTTTGTTTGTGTGGGTGTGAGATTGTGGTTTTGTCTCATGTTCTGAGAAGAGCTAGGAAAGGTGGTTTTTTTGGTTTGGAGTGGACTGTTTCTAGCAAGTATTTTGACAAGGCGAGTGTTTCTATGTCTGTGTATCCCACTGTGTCCTTGGTTGTAGACATTATAAAAGAAAATGCATCAATGGATTGGGATTTTAGGATTTTAGGAGGCCATGCATGAGAGTCGAGTCGCCTTTGGAAACTGAGATCTAGGCCCAGGGTGGCTTTCCACAGAGCACTGGGAATCTCAGCCACGATATCACATGATTTTATTCTTAAAGACCTGGCAGCCATAGTTGAGAATCAAAACACACATGGACCTCACATTGTACACCTCAAGATAAGCCCATGACCGGATGGGTATATAGCGGAGTTTTACAAATCCTTTACAGCAGAATTTATATCAATATTTTTCAAGTCATTTCAGGAAATAGAAAAAGAATTAGCTCTTCCAAATTCATTCTAAGAGGCCAACATCACCCTGATTCTGAATCCTGACAAGGACACCTCAAAGAAAGAAAATTAGAGACCAATATCTCTAATGAACCTAGGTGCAAAAATCCTCAATAAAATTTTGGGGAATCGGCTACAAACCACATAAAAAAAATTGTGCACCATGATTAAGTAGGATTTATTCCTGGGATGCAAGTATGGTTCAATATACAAAAATCAATATATGTTATTCACCACATCAATAGACTTAAAGATAGGAACCACATAATTATCTTGATAGACGCAGATAAAGTATTCAAGAAAGTACAGCATCCCTTTATGTTCAAAACATTAGAAAAACTAGGGATAACAGGAACTTACCTCAACATTGTAAAAGCTATCTATGCTAAGCCTCAGGCTAGCATCATTCTGAATGGAGAAAAATTGAAGGCATTCCCCCTAAAATCTGCAACAAGACAGGGAAGCCCTCTATTACCACTTCTATTCAATATAGTTCTCGAAATTTTGGACTAAGCAATTAGACAGATGAAAGAAATTAAAGGCATAAAAATAGGAAAAGAAGAACTTAAATTATCACTATTTGCTGATGACATGATAATATATTTAACAGACCCAAAAGGATCTACAAAGAAACTGCTAGAGTTAATAAATGAATTCAGCAAATTGGCAGGATATAAAATCAACAAGCATAAATCAAAGGCATTTCTGTATATCAGCAACAAAAGTTCTGAAACGGAAATAAGGGAAAACATGCCATTCACAATATCCTAAAAAAAATAAAATAAAATACTTGGGAATCAACCTAACAAAAGAGGTGAAAGATTTATAGAATAAAAACTACAGAACACTAAAGAGAGAAATAGAAGAAGATCTTAAAAGATGGAAAAATATACCCTATTTATGGATAGGCAGAACTAACATCATCAAAATGGTGATATTACCAAAAGTTCTCTATATGTTTAATGCAATGCCAATCAAAATCCCAATGGTATTTCTTGTAGAAATAGCTAAAGCAATCATGAAATTCATATGGAAAAATAAAAGACCCAGAATAGCAAAAGCAAGTCTAAGCAGGAAGTATGAATTAGGCGACATAGTGATACCACATTTCAAACTATACTACAAAGCAATAGTAACAAAAACAGCATGGTACTGGTACCAAAACAGGTGGGTGGACCAATGGTACAGAATAGAGGACACAGAGAC